TACTATACTCTGTGACAAATTTAGTGGCCATCCCAAGGGGTTTGCATATATAGAGTTCTCAGACAAAGAGTCAGTGAGGACGTCCCTGGCCTTAGATGAGTCCCTGTTTAGAGGAAGACAAATCAAGGTGATTCCCAAACGAACCAACAGACCAGGCATCAGCACAAGAGACCGGGGCTTCCCTCGTGCCCGATACCGTACCCGGACTACCAATTACAACAGCTCCCGATCTCGATTCTACAGTGGTTTTAACAGCAGGCCCCGGGGTCGAATCTACAGGGGCCGGGCTAGAGCGACATCATGGTATTCCCCTTACTAAAAAAAGTGTGTATTAGGAGGAGAGAGAGGAAAAAAAGAGGAAAGAAGGAAAAAAAAAGAATTAAAAAGAAAAAAGAAAAACAGAAGATGACCTTGATGGAAAAAAAATTAAAATATATATATATACTGTGGAAGGGGGGAGAATCCCATAACTAACTGTGAGGAGGGACCTGCTGTGGGAGTAAGGGAAGGCCCAGGGCGTGGGGCAGGGGCTACATATTCCCTCTGGGGATTCGCCATGGGCACATCTCAACTGTGCAAGCTGCTCCCTGTTTCCCTGCTCCCCTTCATCCTCTCTGGGCCTGCTCAAGGGTAGGTGGGCTCGGGTGGTAGGAGGACTTTTTTTTTTTTTTTTTTTTTTTTAACCCAGGGCTCTGGAAGGACACCAAACTGTTCAGCTTGTTTCCTTCCCTGCTGCTCCTGTCCTACCAGGTCTCCGCCCACCCTCCCCTTCTTCTCTAGTTTGCCTGGTGATCTATTTTGTTTCCTTTTGTGTTTCTTTTTCTGTTTTGAGTGTCTTTCTTTGCAGGTTTCTGTAGCCAGAAGATCTCGCTCCCAGCGGCTCCAGTGTAAATTCCCCTTACCCTTGGGGAAATGCACTACTTTGTTTTGGGGAGTTTGGGGTGTTTTGTTTTTCAGGTGTTTTTGTTTTGTTTTATTTTTTTCTTTACTTTTTTTTCCCTTTTATTTGGAGGGAATGGGAGGAAGTGGGAACAGGGTGAGGGGGGTGGCTTTTTTTTTTTAACTCATTTCCAGGGGATGGGAATTTTTTTTTAAATAATGTGTCATGAATAAAGTTGTTTTATGAAAAAAAAGAAGTACACAACCTTCAATCTCAACACTTAGGAGGTGAAGGCAAGAGGATCAGAAGTTCAGAGGTCATCTTCAACAAGGTAGGAATTTGAGGCCTGTCTAGTATACACGACACCTTGTTTCAAATTAAAATATATACACACACACAAAACCCACCAAGCAATGAAAGTACTATTTTCTTTTCTAAATTTTAATACATAAAACCAATAGCAGTGATTAATTGCAAAGAAATCTGGTAGGAGAAAGTTAATCTAACCACAGTCATTAACAAAAAAAAATGGCAAACCTATAAATTCAAGATAGTCAGATCAAGAAGCCCTCACTAATCCCCAAGTGACTTCAGACTGGAAGGAGACAGACACAGGTCTTTCCCATCTCATCTAACAGCAGCCTGCCTGCTAAGTCCTGAACCCCGGCTCTCCTCAGCAGTTTTCTTTCCCATCTAGAACCCAGTGCATCGTATACCATCAGAGCACACACAGGCAGCAGTTCTTATTGCCCACATTGATACCATTCTGGTCCAAACCACTCTTCCTTGCCTTACTTATATCTTCCTTAACTGTGCTCTTCAGTTCCACCTTAGTCCTTCATTATTGCTTTCTCAATGGTGCTGCCAGAACGACCCAATTAACCATTAAATCACAGTATGCCATGCTTTGCCTCCAATGATCTTCCCATCTGAGAACAAAAATTCATCCTAAAACACGATCATCCCTCTGATCATTCTGATCTCGTGCTACTATCCAACCACTGACTGTCTCCAAACATACCACGTTCCTACCTCAAGACCTCCTGTGCCCTTCCCCAGCAATGCCCTGTGTGGACATCCACATGCATCGCTCTCCCAATTTACTCCTGGCCTTCAGTCATCTTCATGACACTATCTCTGGCCTTCATACCAAAAAATGTCAATCCTCTTCTTCGTGGTCTCACCACACACACAGATTATACCATCTTCTCAGCACCTATCTACCATGGAATACAATTCATTCACTTACTGTTTACTGTCTGTTCCACTCTAGAGGGCACAGCTGTTTATTCACTACTGTATCCTTAGTACCTAAAACAGTAGCTGGCACCAAGCAAAGATTTGATATTGATGAAGCAGATGAAGAACCTTGGACGGGGTTAGAGATAATGGAACAAGTTAACTGGGAACAGCTAACTGCAAGTTCAGCATAGTAATTCAAGCGTATCCTCTCAGCATTGAGGAAGGTGACACAGGAGGACTCCCACAAATTCAAGGCTAGTATGGGCACCGTAAAACCAGCCTAGAATACAGGTAAGACCCCGTCTAAATAATAATAATGACAACAATAAAAGAAATAGCTAACTACAGATAAAGATCTATATCTCAAACTTAAGGAAAGCTTTGCCTACGAGATACCATCTCTAACTACATCAGTACATGGTGAAATAGCTGCCAGTGTTTCCGTATCTGGGTCCTTCCAAACTCACTAGCTATGCTCAATTAATCAAGAAATTCTGGGATGTGGACTGTCTGTATATTATATACTATGCTTTAACAGAAAATTATTAAAAGGCAAATACCAAAAGATAGAGTTGGGACTAGTATTTTGAAGTAATAATATATGAACAAAAGAAATCAAGAGATCTTTTAAGCCAGGCTCTGTCACGCATCAGACAATTACATATGATCAGAATTTCACAAAAACTGTTTCTGCTATCCATATTAATACAAAACTTACTTCAATCCATGTTCCTCTCAACCAGTTTTTTGTTTTTGTTTTTTAAATGAAGCTAGACCACATTTAGTCTCAGCAAGGGGCAGAGGCATATCTCTGTGAGTTTAAGGCCAGTCTGGTCTACACTGTGATTTCCAGAACAGCCAGGCCAATCTAGAAAGATCCTATGCCAAAAAAAAAAAAAAAAAAAATTTGGCCCCGGGAGTGATATTACACATGTATATTACACATGTATAATTCTAGTACTTGGGAGGGAGGGGAAGGAGAACCAGGAGTTCCAGGTTATATAAGATCCTAAAATAACAAGGGCTACAACAAACAGCTGGGCTGGGAGTATGAGGGTTTGGTTCAGTGTACAGTGTTTGCCCTGTACTCATCGAAGGCCCTGAGTTCCAGCCAAAGGACCATTTTTTTAAGAGGGAGAAAACAAACCTCCGAGTCAGATGTGGTGGCATAAACTTGAAATCCCAGTTCTAACAAGGCTAAACTAGGAGGCCTACTAAGAATTCAATGCCTAGCCTGGGCTACAGAGTAAAATCACATCTCAATGATGCTCAGGGGTAGAGTACTTTAGTTGCCTAGCATGTGTAAGGATCCTGGTTCATTTCCCAACCTTGGGTAGAGGAGAGAGTAGTCTACTATACAAATGTAAAAAATTACCAAATTCTTGAATTTTGCTCATTGTCTTCTAGAAAAAAAAAATGAGCATAATATCCTCTTTGCAAAACTTCACACTGAGACTCTGGAGGGAAGACGTGACTCTGGGAAACTAGTTCAAAAGTAGTGTTTGCCTGGCATGTGCAAGGCTTTCATATCCAACATCCAATACCACACACACACACACACACAAAATAAAGTAACTTTTTTTCAGAACAAAGCTGTGTTATAAGATGTCAGCCATAAGGGTAATATTCTATAACAAAATAAAATGTTCACATAAAGCCAACCTTCAAACTAATCTTTAGTGACTGTCTGTCATTGGTACCCTAGGTTAAGAATGACAGACAGCAAAGGAACAAGAGGGTCCATCTTAGGGACATGAAATGTTGTATTTCTTTACTGAGGTAATTACATAGCCAAATACATTTGTCAAACCCTAGCTAGAGATGTAATTCAGTTGACGGCGTTTGCCTAATAAGCATGAAGGATTGGATCCCTAGAAAGGCATGCACAGGAAGACTAAAGTTCAAGATCTACAGAGACTATGTAATCGAGCTGAAGAACAGCCTGGGGATACATCAGGCCCTGTCACAAGAAGAGGGAAAATTATCTGTTGCCCAACAGTCTCAAAGAGATCCTGGGTAAGGAGATTTGATTTGAAGAGCTAACAAAAGGGTTGAAAGCCAAGTGTTGGTAGCCCATGGTATTTAATCCCAGCATTCAGAAGGCAGTGACAGAGGATCTCTGAGTTCGAGGCCAGCCTGGTCTACATAAAAGTTCCAGCTCGTTCTCTTGTTCTCTCTTTCGTGTTCTCTCTCGTTCTCTCTCTCTCTCTCTCTCTCTCTCTCTCTCTCTCTCTCCCTCCCTCCCTCCCTCCATCCCTCCTTCCCTCCCTCCTCCCCCATCCATCCCCCCCTCTTGCCTAACCAGGAACAGGGGTGGGAGGAATCTCAGCTCACTCATTGGTTAAGAGCACATACTGTTCTCTCAGAAGATCCAAGCTCAATACCCAACACCCCACATCAGGAGGCTCACTACCTCCTCTTACTCCAGCTCCTAGGGTGCTGACCTCTGGCACCAAACGCAGATGCGTATGCCCCTACGCACCTACATAATTTGTTTTTACTTTTAAAAATATTCCTGCCTTCTCCACAAGAAAATAAAAGCCCCAAAAGCATTGCTTTCAAAGGCATAATTCCTAGAAAGTAAGGAGCAGTTCTGAAATGGGTTCGAGCGGATTAGGTCGTTAAGTGTGTGTCCTTGAGAGTTCTCGGCCTCTGTGGCGAGCCTCAGTTTCTCTTTATGCAAAATGGGTTGACGGTCTGGCGTGTGATCTAGCATACTGCAAGTGCTCCATTCATTAAGAAACGCACGTTGTCACCCGAGGCTGAGACTCCAGTCCCTCAGGGGGTCACGGTCCCTTCCGGGCGCCAGACGGCTACGCGTGGCCTCCTCCCCTCACCCCAGCAGCGCGCGGAGGCCTCCCGCCTCCCAGGCCCGCACCTCGCTGAGGAAGCGAGTGATATCGTAGACTCGCCCGTGGATCACCATCCACGTCTCCTCCGCAGTGTTTCGCTTCGCCACCTCCTCCAGCCGGTAGTAGGTGACGGAGGGGTCGGAGCCCTCGACATTCCCGCCGCTACCGCTGCCACTGGCCTCTGGGGTCGCCATTGGATCCGAGTCCCTTTCCGTCGGTATCTAGGATTCTGTGGCTAACTTCCTTCACGCTCGGCCCGCGTTCGGTCCTCGTCGGCTTCCGTAACCGGGTAAAGCCTGGTCCGACGTCCAACTGACCAATCAGCGTCGTCCACCCCCTCCAACCTTGCCAATCAGATACCGAGATTTTGGACCGGCGCCCAAACGTGGCCGGGTGACAGATACCACCTCAGGAGAGCGTTCTCTTTGCTCGGCCCATGGACAGGCAGGGTCCTCAAAGAAGAGAGCCTGTTTCCAGAGTCTCTTTTCCCCTCCTGCCACTCAGGATCCCCGAGTCTCCGGAAGCGAGTTTTCCCCTTCTGTCTTCCCAACCAGAATTGCAGCCCCCGGGGGTTACAAGCTTTGCTGTCCGCTAGACTCGGGTGACTGGTTCCCTTTAGGCACCAAAAGGCTCACCAATTAAAATGGGCATGGTGACCTCTACCTTCCTTGCCCAGAGGTTTGGCATGCTGCGTGAGAGTGTGTTAAGAGAAGTCTGAGCTCAGCAATCGCTGTGTAAATCGCAACTGGCGTTGGACTCCAGGGCTCTTAGGCCTTGCAACAGCAGTTGGGGCGAGGGTAGATGTCCCAAGTTTGCTACTCCACTACCGACAAAATAATTCTATAATCGAATCAGTCATCAGGGCCTACCTACACTGTTTTAGTTTCTAAATGGCCTAAACTAGGATTTACTTAAGATGACCCTTGCTAAAAGTCTAGGTAATTTGGAATTCTGAGTTAATGTGCAAAGTTGTGAGCCTTTATCTTTAATTGCCGTGAAAACTAGTATGCTGGTCATCCTAAAATGTTTTCATGGCGTTACTTCACAGCCTAGCACTCGTGACTCTGTGAACTATTTGGAACATCTTTCACTAATATTTTATTATTTATTTATTTATTTATTTATTTATTTAGAGACATGTGTTGGTATGTAAGTCTGGCAAGCCTGGAACTCACAGAGATCCATATACCTCTGCCTCCCAGGTAATGGGTTAAAAGCACACCACCATGTGCCGTGTCCACTTTCCATACCCTACATCCCTAACTATGCAAACTATGTGCTGCAGTTTGCTCTGATGGCTGTCATAAAATACTGACCAAAACTAGCTTGAGGAGGAGTAGAGGGTTTATTTGGCTTGCAGGTTATAAGCCGTCATCCAGGGAAGCCAAGACCAGAACTCAAGGAAGGAACTGAAGCAGAGACTACAGGGGAGCTGCTTACTGGTTCACTTTCAGACTTTTGTTGAGCTGCCTTTCCTATACAGCCCAGCCCCACATGCCCAGGGATGGTGCAGCCCACGGTGGCCTGGGCCCTCCTACAGCAATTAGCAATCAAGAAAATGGCCTATCGACATGCCCACAGGCCAATCTGTGGGAGGCAATTCTTTTGAGGTTCTGTCACTATGAAGGCAAACCCTCATGATTCTTAGTATTTTCCACAACCCCTAAATTCAACCATGTGTATTTATTTACAGAAAAGAAATTTTTCTGAAAACTTACTACATCACAAGTTTTATAATAGGATCTGGGGAAGAATGGCAATACAAGAAGCAAGCTCTTTGTTGTGTTTTGTTTTCATCGTTTTGTGGGCATATGAGGTTTACAAATCTGTGTGCTCAAACATGCTCAAGGACGCTAGAGGAGTGTGTCAGGTGTCTTCGTCTGTCATTCCTCTTCCAGTGCCTGAGAGGAGTCTCTCACTGACCCGAGAGCTTGCTGTTTTCAGCTATACCGGATGGCCAGCAAGCGCTCAGAATCTGCCTTTCTCCATCACCACCCCAGAACTAGAATTACAGGTGTATGAAGGCCTGCCTGCGGGCAGTAGTGGCGCACGCCTTTAATCCCAGCACTTGGGAGACAGAGGCAGGTGGATTTCCGAGTTCGAGGCCAGCCTGGTCTTCAGAGTGATTTCCAGGACAGCCAGAGATACACACTCTGTCTCAAAAAAATAAAAAATAAAAATAAAAGCCCTGCCTGGCTTTTAATGTGAGTGCTGGGGACTTGAACTTTTAAGTCAGCAAGTGCTATTACCCTCTGAGCCTCTATTGTGGTGCCTTTCCCCGCTACTTTTTAAAAAATACATTTATTTACTTATGGGGGGGGTTCCTATAGAGGTCAGAGGACAACTTGTAGTGATCAGTTCTCAGTTCTCTCCTTCTACCGTGCAGGTTCCAAAGAACAAACTCAAATCATCAAGCTTTGTGTAAGCATTTTTACAAGCTGAGCCATCTCTCTGGCCCCTAGTGTGTGTGTGTGTGTGTGTGTGTGTGTGTGTGTGTGTGTGTGCTGTATCCTGTGTGCTGTTTTTTGCCTCAGGGTCTTATGTAGCCTAGAGTGGCCTCAAACTGACCATGTAACCAAGCCAAGGGTGGCCCTACCTCCTGATCCACCTAGCTCCATCTTCCAAATCCTGGGATTAAATGTGTGTGCCAACATTTCCAGCAAGAAACAAACTCTGGAAGCTTCCTTTCCACTCTCATGGAGGAAAGTAAGTGCAAGGCTGTTTTTAAAGACCTTGAGGGGCTAGAATGGAAAAACCTCTTGGCAAAGGTAAAGGTTGAAGCAGCTTATTTGGAGTCCTTCCAAAGCAAAAGTAGCTATGCCTTTAGGGTCCTGGGACTGGAATTTCAAAGGCTGTCAAGAGAAGAGGGGTTAGGACTTTCTCTAGTAGCAGGGACCCTCACCATCTTTCTCAAAGGGATGTTGGTAAACCGTAGGACCTCAGAGAAGGAATATACCGCAAGCTGGGAGACTGAACCCTGTCTTTAGGGTAACAGATCAATAGACAGACTTGAGCCCCAACGTGGGAAACTGTCCTCTCTGCCACAGACCTCTCAGACAGCAACCAATGTGAACTGAGGGCAGAGGAAACTTCTAGAATGTGTTGCAATGTGAAAAACATTCAGTGGGAGATGAATATTCATAAGTGACAGGAGTGATCATTATTATGGTAAGTAAAATTATCAGATTAAAATATTTGGGGCACGATAACCCATTCCACCATTAATTCCTGCACTTGGGAAACAGATGGGAAGATATCTGTTAATTCAAGGCCAGCCTGGTCTACATAGTGAGTTCCAGGCCAATCAGAGTTACACAATGAGACTCTCCCTCCTAAATAGGTAAATAAAAGTTTTTGAATTATTATTTTAACGGTTTTTTTGGGGGGTGGGGGGTTTGTTTCAGTTTCTGTATTTATTTTGTTTTGCTTTGTAATTCCAGCAGGTAAGTTGCAAATAATATGCAATAAAATCCCATACTTTTCACTTGGGCTCATTGATTGTTAATTTTTTGTTTTTGTTTTTGTTTTTGTTTTTCGAGACAGGGTTTCTCTGTGTAGCCCTGGCTGTCCTGGAACTCACTCGGTAGACCAGGCTGGCCTCGAACTCAGAAATCTGCCTGCCTCTGCCTCCCAAGTGCTGGGATTAAAGGTGTGTGCCACCACTGCCCGTCGAGTGTTAATATTTTATTTTATTGTTTGTTTGTTTACTTAGACAGGGTTTCTCTTTGTGTAACCTTAGCTGTCCTGAGACTCATTCTGTAGACCAGGCTGGCCTCAGACTCACAGACCTACCTCTGCCTCCTGAACACCAGTACTGTCTGGCTAATATTTTTTAATGTTTCATTTCTCTCCCTTGTTTTTAATATTCTTGTTTATCGTACTGACTTAGTAAAGACATTATGATCTTTACTTCCAAGTAATTCTGCATTAACAATCATGCAAAATATTATTTAGACAGCTGTGGCGGCTCATGCCTTTAATACCAGCACTCAGGAGGCAAAGGCAGGTAGATTTTCATGAGTTCAAGGCCAGCCAGATCTACTACATACCAAGCTCTAGTCTAGCCAGGGTTACATAGAAAGGCCTTGTCTCAATATATATAGTATCTTAAATTTATCAGAAGGGTAAGGCAGGAGTCATTTGAGCCCAAGAATTCAAGTGTTCAAGGACACCCTGGGCGAGTCAGTGAGACCCAGTCTCAAAATATAAATATAGGACCACTGAGATGTCTCAGCACAGAGGTACTTCAAGCACAGTACACACATATAGAGACATAAAATGAATAATTATTAATGTTTTAAAGGCCAAAAAGATAAACACAATAATAGCAAATCCTATTATCTACTTCTGTACATCATTTTATAATATTTTTGAGGTAGAGTATGCTACAGACAGTAAGGGCCACCACATATGTAATTTAAAAAGGGTCTTGAATCTGTCAAATGTTTTTTGTTCTTCTATTGGGGTAATAATGTGATTTTTTTCTTATTCTGTTAATATTGTGAATTTTTTTAAAAAAAATTCCTGCATTTCTGAGATAAATCATACTTGATTATGTTAGTAATTAGTTATGTAATTCAAATTCAACTTGCTTTTCTCGTTTCTTTTTTCTTGCTTGCTTTCTTTTTCTTGGAGATAAGACATGGTGATTTTTAAATAAGAATGGCCCCCATAGGCTCATCTAAATTACCAGAGAGTAGCACTATTTGAAAGGATTAGAAGGATTAGGAGCTGTGGCCTTAAGGAAGGAAATGTGTAACCACTGTAATCATGCTCCCAGTTAAATGTTTTCTTTTGTAAGAGTCGCCTTGGTCATAGTGTCTCTTCCCAACCATAGATCAATGACCAAGGCTCAGGGTCTCTATTAAATAGTCCTAGCTGTCCTGGAACTTGCTATATAGACCAGGCTGGCCTCAGAGTCACAAAGCCACTCACCTCTGCCTCCTGAGTGCTGGGATTAAAGGCATCATGCCCAGCTCTTTTCTCCTTTTTTAGAAAACATTTGTTTCTTTCTTCTGTATTAGGGTAAGAATGAAGTGTCCAGGTGCACAGGCAGTTAGAGGACAACTTTCAAAAGGAGTAGGTCCTAGGAACAATACTCAGGTCCCCAGGCTTGGTGGTAAGCACCTACACTGGCTAAGCCATCTCACTGCCTGACTCCTTGGCTTTTTGAGACATAGTATCACTGTGTAGCCCAGGCTGGCTTTGAATTTTGAACTTTCTATTATCCTGCCCATTATAACCTCCAGATGCTGGCATTAAAA